ATGTGGTTAGTTAGATCTAAATACGTGTTTAGTAAAAATTATAGTTAAAGTTTATATGTAGCAAAAAATATGTATAAAATGTTTGGTTGTTGTTACTTTTTAATAGTATTTTTTACTTGGAAATGCATCAAAATAATTTTTTTATTTTTTAAAAATTATTTTTGATATTAGCGTATCAAAATAATCTTAAAATACAAAAAAATTAATTTACAGTGAAGAAAAAATTAAAAAAAATAATTTTAAAAAAATACTCTTGAAATAAAAAAATAAATAAAATTTTATGAAACTTATTTAAAAAAATATATAAAAATTGTTTCAGCAAAAATTCATTTTAAATTCAATTTTCTAATAAACTCTATAATATAAAACGCAATTTAATATATTAACAAACATCTAATTATATTTTTTACACGGCAAACACAATTACAACAACTAAACATACGGACACTACAAGACAACAAGACTAGCCACAGTTTGGTCCCTCGCACTGCACACAATTTATTGATACTGCAGAGAAGGAAATGGTTCACATTACTTTTATTTGTAACCATTTATTGACGTGCAATGTTGTCTATATATATAGTCTCGGACCAACTTCATAAGCAATTAATATCTATATATAACCATCTAGTAGTAGTTGACCTAGTGATCAAAATTTAAGATAAAAAAATTTGCTTTCATGTGATTTTTAAGTTTGAACCCATTATTATTAATATAATAGTTATTAAAAAAATTTATAATTATTAATTTTAAAATTTATAAAATTAATTGAGATACACTAAGCTGATTTGAATATTTATGTTAATAAAAAAAATACATACATTGTATTTGTATTTTTCATGAAACAATAATTACAATATAAATTAGTTAACTAATTATTTCATTTCACTGGTCAAATGAGTAGTGGCTCAATTGTATTAGTATATTTCTTTCTTTTAAAAGGACTTGAGTTCAAATATTCATCTAAATACAAAGAAGAGAGGAAGAAAAAGAACAATTCATTTCACTGCTTAGTAATTGGATTTTAAAGAAGTTTGACTTGCAAGACTAAACCAATGAACATTACTGATGCTGGTTGGTATACATATACGCAGGATTTGTGACATCGCAGGTTGCATGCTGTGGACAAGGACGTTTTAATGGGATCGGATTGTGCACAATAGCTTCCAACTTGTGCCCTAACAGAGAAATCTTTGCATTTTGGGATCCATTCCATCCAACTGAGAGAGCTAACAGAATCATCGTTAGCACTATCGTGACTGGCGACACCAAGTATATGAACCCAATGAATCTCAGCACCATCATGGCTTTGGATTCTAGGGTTTAATTAATTATCGATACCACTACTGGCTAGTCCAGTTCTTATAATTGAACATTATGAACAATTATATTCTTCATTAATATTGTTTGCTCCTTGATTAGGTAAGGTTGGTGGGTTTGTTCAGAGTATTAATTAATGTTTTATATATCTGCCAAATTCATCATGTGTTAGCTGATAGGGTTGCGCATGTACTGCCCAGATCCCTCCTTAAAATAGTACGATGATGGAAGAATGATTTGCGATTTTGTATTGGTGTCAGAAACGTTTTGTGAGAAAGCAAACCACTAGTAATCTTGTGTTTCTTCCTGTTAATTGCACTAGAGCCATTGATAACTACCGAGATGGAAGTATAGTCTTTCAACTTCTCATGAATTTGACAGTATAGCATTATGCGGCTCTTTCAAACATCCGGGGAAAGAGGTCTCATGCATGTTATTGGACTTTAGAATACTAGCCATATGAAAAATTACATAAAATATTCTTAGTTAGAAGAATATTAAAGTAGGAATTATAAAAGTTTTAGATCATCATTACTATACCTATGTTCATTTGAGCCACGGAGTCCTAGGAATTGTTTTGCAGTTAAAAATGATCCGTTCATCAAAATGTTCCAAACAAAAAAGAAATCCAGCCCACAAGAACTAAAATAAACCAAAAGGTTCTGAAAAAGAAAACTGTAGTGGAAAATCACAAAAAAAAGAGGAAAAATCAATTGAAACAAAATGAAAAAGAGAAAACTAACCTATCATGAATAATAAAACTTTGTTAATTTTCCAAGCATGCATGAAAGAATGGAGTTGTTTGTGAGTCTTGTCTTTCTCTTCGATAAAGTTTCTTGATGAAAAAGATCATGGGTTAATTAGTCCAGTTATAGCGGATATTGGAAATGTAATAGAGTGTTTTCCATTTATAATAATATTTTTATTTATTTTTTAAAATCAATATATCAAAAAAAATTTAAAACATTAAAAAATAAATTTTAATAAAAAAAGTTAAAACTTACTCTAATATTCTCAAAATATATATTTAGAATTAGTACTACGATGAGAATAAAAGCTGAATGCACTCCAAATTATTTTTGAAAATCTTAAATTTCAATTTAAAATCTTTGCCAGGGTAATGATTTTAAACAATTATGATTACTAACAACAACAATATGCTTGTAAATATAAGGGAAAAGGATAAATTTGTGCCTAAACTATTATGTCTATCCAATTGAGTCCATCACCTATCAATTCTCGCAATTGAGTCCTCTACCTATTTTGATATTGCTTAATAACCTCCTTTGTCATTCTAAGAGCAACAGTTTTAAGACAAGACTGCTAAAATTGAAAACATTTATGAGTTACATGAAAATTTTCAAAGTCGTGTATTTGCTCCGAAGAAAGTAGTGTGCCTGACCAATGTAAGATTTTCAATGTAGTATACTTATTTCTTCAATCGAATCAGTTGGGTACATTAACTTGTTAGGTGGTTCTTAATTTGTCCATTATTTGATAATGGGGCAGTTGAACTCTGAACATCTAACACCATGGAAGAATTTTCCCTTTCCTTTCTTTTTTTTTCGCCATAGGTTCCCTCCTAACTTACATTAAACCATGTTAATAGTTTTATTATTATAATTTCTTTGCAACTTTTAAAAGATGTTTTCAATAAAATAATAATAATAATGTTTTACAATCAATATGTTAGTAATTTATTAGTTTACAATGCAATAACATGTTGTTGCTCAAATCAAAAACAATTTCAACATAAAAAAAGATTTTCAGGCCATTAAAACTATGTGATATTGTTGTAAAATTTGATCTAATGTTCAACTTAAAAATTATTTGATTTGATTTCAACTGATCCAACTTGACTCTTTATTTTGTTCGGATTTAAAATTAAATTATATAAGAATTATTATGATATGATCCTACAATATCCGATAAAAAACATGATTTGACTTTAAAAGATTTTATTTAAGAACCCGTCGATGTTTAACTCATATATATATATATATATTGTGGCTTAATCTGTTAAATTTGTAATCCGAATGAAGGACTTCACTGTGTTTTAAAACTTAAAAAACTATTTTTTATTTAATTATGGATAATAAAAACATATACTTGTAAAATTGAATACAAATCAAATGTTGAAATATTTATTTGAGAATATGATAATCTCATAAAAAATAAATCGATATAATTTATAAAAATAAATTCAAAATCAAGCTAATATTAAAAAAATTAAAAAAATAATAAAATTGATAAAAAGGGAAAGGGGGATGCAAAACACACACACAAGAGAAGTAAAAAAAAGAAAAAGAAAAATCTAGTGGTAGTCTTAACTACTCAAGCCAATATAGACTTTCACCATTCAAGAATCCTTTGGTATTAACCAACAGTGCTGGAGGCCTTTTAAATTTTGTTAGTGTAAAGAGTTCTCTCGTGAAAACTCGATGTCTCTCTTTTCTTTCTAGTACATGGAACTTAGATATAAAAATCGTGTACCCTAGTTTTCTATATAGTTAAGAAAAACTTCTTTTCTCAATTAATAAGAAAATTGAGATGTTCTGGAGTGATTTTCTCTTCATAACTTGGACAAAATCTATCCACATTATCTGCCAACCTCATGAAATAATCTTGTTAAATTATTTCTTTCATGTCCATATCACAAAATTTAGGATGGTCCAACAATAGAAATTGAACCACTAACATCAACATTTATTGCATTTACAGGAAGATGATATAGAGATGCTTTCAAAAATACAATGAAAAGGTATTTTTGAAAATTAAAAAACATTACACATATCACCCAATATATATCAATAACTCCCACGCATTCAAGAGTGTTACACACGCATACTTATTTTTTAATTATTTTTTTATTTAGTTAAATATAGAATTACCATGGATATTACTTTTTAATTAAAAAATTATTATAAAAAATCAAAAATACTTCTTCAACTTGGACACAGTGGCAAAGACAGGGTGGGGCTAGCAGAGCCCGACCCTTGTAGGGAATTTTTTTTCTAACTCTCTTCTTTGTAAATATTTTAAAAATAATTAAAAATTTAATTTGATGTTTTTAATTTTTAATTTGACCCCTTTAATTTTTCTTTCTTGCTCCGCCTGGACATAATTTGTTTTTACTTTAAAGATATTTTAGTTGTTTTAATATACTTTTTAATTATTTATTATTTTTTATATTTAATTAAATATCAAATTTTTCATCATCTTAAATTATAATAATGAGAAAAACCATTGATACTCCTACATGTCAGGTTTAAATTTTTTTATTCCAATAATATTTTAATCGTTTTATTGTGCACTTAACATAGAAATAGACTTATTTGTCCCCTCTCAACTTGAAAATAACAAATTAATCACGTTAAAAAAACTTTAATGTTCTTAAAAGCAGGTATTAAGGTTTTCTATGGAGAGTAAAAATTAGTGGTCTTGTTCCAGTAAACAATGTTCATGATTGTGCATATACAGTGATTTCCTAACAGGTTTTAGCTTTTTTTAATAGGACAAAAGCAAAATTTATTGAGGGTAAGTTCTTGCATGTCGTAAAAATATTCCAGCCCTACATATTTATGCTCCTCACGTGACAGTTTCATCTAAGATGTCCGATTGCTAATTTCCTCTTCCTTTTCTTTTTTTCTTGGAAAGAAACATAAAAAACAAGAGCAAAGATGAAAGGAATAGGGAAAAAGTTGCCTATTCGAGGGCTGAATAGCATAACTTTATCAGCATCAAAGAAGAAGGAGGCTACAATTGTTGCCGCTGTAATTGAAGGAATGAAAAGCTCACTGATCTCTTAAAAACAATCAACATGAGCTCAGAAAGACATATCCCTCTTGGCAAGTCATCGTGTCCGACTTCGTTGTATCAGTTGCTCCCACACTGTACTCACCAGATCCGGCTTAAGCTAATAACCACTTGTGCAATGGCCAAAGATCCCACTTAATAAAAGATTTCAAGAATAAATAAAATATGTTTGTTAATTATACTTTATAAAATGTATAATGACAAAATGAAGATTATCCAGGATCTCATTTGTCAAACATACATAAAAAATTAAAATTAAAATATTTGTAAAATATTTCATAACGTCATCTCATTTATAGTTTTTCTCAAAGCTTTCATGATCGTTCACCTTAAGACTCGATCTGATACTTACTTCAAGGAAATACAGGGTTAGGCAATTCTGCCCGTTTCGGGAGCTTATACCTTATTATTATGGAAAGAGGATAGTGCTTCTTTTTTTTATTGTCTTTAAGAGGTTGATTAGGTGGGGCGGTGCTTGAGGCTTCTCAGCCGCATCAGCTAGTCCATTCTCATAAATTTCAGGTATTAAACTTGAGAGCTAGAAAGAAAAAGGCAAAGTTTTTGTTTTTTGTTTTTTTTTTTTGAAGTGGA